GGTTCCAGCTACTTGGGAGGCTGTGGCAGGAGACTCGCTTGAGCCCAGGAGTTGGAGGTTGCTGTGAGCTGTGAAGCCACGGCACTCTACCCAGGGGGATAGCTTGAGGCTCTGTCTCAAAAAAAAAAAAAACAATAAATAAATAAGAAAAAAGAAACTCCGCAAGGGTGGTACCTGTGGCTCAAAGGAGTAAGGCACTGGCTCCATATGCCAGAGGTGGCAGGTTCAAACCCAGCCCGACCAAAAACTGCAAAAAAATAAATAAATAAATAAATAAATAAAAATAAATCCGCGAGAGATCTACATTGGTGCTTGTAGCTCAGTGAGTAGGGTGCCAACCACATACACTGAAGCTGACATATTCAAACCCAGCCCAGGCCAGCCAAAACAATGACAACAACAACAACAAAATAGCCAGGCACCTGTCATCCCAGCTACTTGGGAGGCTGAGGCAAGAGAATTGCTTAAGCCCAAGAGTTTGAGGTTGCTGTGAGCTGTGATGCCGCAGCACTCTATCAAGGGCAACATAGTAAAACTCTCCGAAAAAAAATAAAAAAAATAAAAAAACCCAAAACTGGGCAAGATCCAGGTTTTAGACACTTCTATCAAATCACACCAATAATTTGAAATAGAAAAGAACAGGTAGGGCGCTGGCCCCATATACCGAGAGTAGCGGGTCCGAACCCGGCCCCAACCAAACTGCAACCAAAAAATAGCCAGGCGTTGTGGTAGGCACCTGTAGTCACAGATACTTCAGAGGCTGAAGCAAGAGAATCACTTAAACCCAAGAGTTTGAGGTTGCCGTGAGCTGTGATGCCACAGCTCTCTACCAAGGGTGACATAGTGAGACTCTATCTTTAAAAAAAAAAAAAAGAAAGAAAGAAAAGAAAAGAAAGGCAGTGCCTGTGGCTCAAAGGAGTACAGTGCCAGCCCCATATACTCGAAGTGGACGGTTCAAACCCGGCCCGGGCCCTTTTAAAAAAAAAAACACTTGGGTAGGAAATCACACACACACACCCCCCATTGTCGCCAGAATGACAGGTGTCCAAGGCCCTGGCCACACACAGCTTCCAGTATAGAACAAGGGCCAGCAAACAGTGGCCAGGGCCCCAGTCCTCAAGCTAAGAACAGTGTGAGCTTTTCCTTATATATTTTTAAAAATCTGCTTTAAAAAGCAAACAAAAACTACGCAACAGAGAGTACACAGCCCACAAAGCCACAGGAGGACAGTTTGGTGATCCGTGTCTAAAAAGAAACGCCATGGCAGGACACAGCTGCGCCTTGTAGATCCTGGTTGAACACTACTCCAGGGACTATGCAGGTGTACTTAGGACTGCCTAGTTAACTGTCTTTACAAACTCCTTGTGATCAGCTAACTGAGTCTGTAGACAGTGTCAGACAAATTGTGCGGGATGTCTCACACCTGTAATCCCAGCACTCTGGAAGGCTGAGGCTGGAGGATCCCTTAAGCTCAGGAGTTCAAGACCAGCCTGAGCAAAAGGAGACTCCTGTCTCTACTGAAAATAGAAAAACTAGTCAGGCATTGTGACCAGTGCCTATAGTCGCAGCTACTCAGGAGGCTGAGGCAGGAGGATGACTTGAGCCCAAGAGTTTGAGGTTGCTGTGAGCTATGATATTACAGCACGCTAGTCTGAGACTATCTAAAAAAAAAAAGTGTGTGAGACAGTCTTTGAGTCTAGATGCTATGTCCTCATTCTCAGACATGCAAGTGTTACTTTTACAGGGCACAAGGGATTGTGCAGATGCAGTTAAGAATCTTGGAAGGGGCTCGGTGCCTGTGGCTCAAGTGACTAAGGCGCCAGCCACATACACCTAAGGTGGCGGGTTCGAATCCAGCCCAGGCCCACCAAAACAACA